GATGATGATAATGATGGTGATAATGATGATGATGATGGTAATGATGATGCCAGTTGTTATCATGGTTGTGTTATTAACAGTGTAACGTTTCTGATTCTGTTTCCCAACAGGCCAAGAATATTGCTCATTATGAAGTTGAATGTGAAGAAAAAAGTCTCGAAAGAGTTGAAAAGACTAAGGATGAGAAAGAATTAATGCTAACAGGTCTTACGGGGAGCGACTCTGTCTTTTATAATACTGTAAGTAGTTTGAGATTAACTTGTATAAAATATATAAAATATGAGCGGGAGACCTTTATGGGCATTTAAAACTGCGAGCTGCAAGCAAGCAGTTTTATAGCCCATAAAGGCCGGAAGCAAATATTTTATATTGCCTTAATCAAATTCCAACATAAGCTAAAGTATATTTCGAAAAAAACTTCAGGATAAAATATCATTTGTAAGAGAAAATTGAAGTTAAAGTCGTATACAAATCAGGACAAATCTCTTGCTCATATAAAGATGTGGTCACGGCAATGATTTTACATTGTGTTTACCTTATTAATGAATTTGATAAGTATATTACATATGATTCTAGAATCATTGATCAAAGATTCCAATCTTATTTTTATCTTTTAGGTGTATGATTTCTTCAAAGAGCGTATAGCATTYCAATATCCMCTTGATCCAACTCCAGAAGATCCRCTAGAGGCTCAACGAAGTGCTCACGAGGTTTGTGTCTGRCTRGCTGTCTYTSWSTGTGACTGTCTGTCTGCATGACTAATCCAGATGGATGCCTAATCAATCCATCTTTGGACACACACCAGAGCACATACAGCTTATTTATACCCACTGTCTTTCTGGCTGTTTCTGATATAATACATTTTGTCTATTTTAGTCTTTTGTGGATACCAGATCTCAAATTGTCTTGGGAAGAGATAAGATTATTGGTGATGTATGTGTTCATTTTCCTTTTTTCATTTATTTCTCATTTCTTCATCCATTCYTTCATTTCATTTTGCATTGCTGAAGTGAGATGAATGAAGTGTCCATTCATTTGTTCATCTATTCATTTGTTCATCCATTCATTTGTTCATTCATTCACTCATTTAATTCAAATATTATTTTGTTTTAGATTGAGAGTTATATTGAGTTGGATGAGTCCAAAGCACCACTGCTGCTTGTTGGGAATGCAGGCTCAGGGAAGTCTGCCATCATGGCCAGAATAGCAAGTAATACTATCATGAAAGCTTCCAGTAAAAAGATCAAGTGTCCAGAGTATGTTTTATAGTTTTAACTAGTACATAAACACAGACATAAACACAGACATAACATAAACACAGACATAAACACAGACATAAACACAGACATAAACACAGACATAAACACAGACATAAACACAAACATAAGATGAAGAACTTCACTAGTGCCTAAAGATTCACTTCTGCCTATGTTTAGTTGTAAAATTTCAAGGCAAGGTTGTAGTTATGCTGTTGTAACTTGTTTATTATTATTATTAACGTATTTATTAGTTATTATTGTTTTTATTGCTGTTGCTGTTATCATTGTTTCTGTCCCTGTTGTCACTACACTTCTGTAGTTGTTGTTGCTGTTAAATCAATAATATTCACATACAATTTTCATGGGTCAATATTCTGACATAATCTTTCAGTCCGAAATCAAATTGGAAAGTGTTTTTCCATTTTGTTGGTGCCACCCCTGGTTCAACTGACTTGGCCTTCTTCCTGCAAAGACTAACAAGAGAACTAAGCTCAAAGGTAGCAGTCCTGGGCACAGTTTGATCARAGCTCTATTACCGCTAACTATAATCCTGGGGTAACTCTATTGGTAAAAAACCTGTGGAGTTAACCCATAATAAACGGTAATAGAGCTTTGATTGTTTTTTAAATTTATGTAAAAACCCTCAGTTAGCAAAGAGCTATAATACATTTACATGACTTCTGCAATCTAAAGGCCCGTTTACACGGTTGCCGCAACAATCACAGGGCTGTTTACAGAGTGTTTACACGTACGTATAGGAAAACACTGCCCGAGGTCTTGACAGTACGGAACGAGGTCCGTTCATAAAAGACCGAGGGCAATGGCTTTCTATACGGACCGACCTATAGCCGGTAAATAACATTTTTATTTTGTTTATTTGTAATTTATGCAACTTTGCTCGCAGCCTAGCTGCAGGATACCGTGGACCAGGCAGATTGTGAAAAACCGGACCGCGCGCTAGCCAATCACAGCGCGCGAATGACTAGGATACCGGACCAAAAAATATATAAAAATAATTCTATTTATTTTCAGAAAGAAGCAGTGAGTGATTTAGATTCATTGATTCAAATGACAAACAGTCTATTGTCAAACCCTAACACCAAGCCAGCCATCATCATAGTGGATGCAATTAATCAGGTAATTTTATTACACATTCATACAGTAAGTCTAAGTCCCGGGGGGACTCCCTAATATCAAAGGGCGGGGGTCCTCGGCGGAGATTGTGAAAATGACCCCTGAAGGGGACCTCTATTGTGAGATGATGGGCGTGGCAGTGCTGAAATTTCAACCCTAAAAGGGACCAATCAATAACAGGTCATTTTGTTTTGGTTTACCGATTTTATTTGTGTTTTAACACAATCATCGAACACCGTCGGCTCGTATTGAGTTTATGACGACGTTGCCATTTTATGACTGCTTAGGGTCGCCGTATACCCTAAAAGGGACCACAAAACACAGTTGGTAGGAATTCTTGTCATGATCACCCTAAGCGGGACCAAAATACTGATTTTAAACCCTAAAAGGGACGCCGAGGACCCCCACCCTTTGATATTAGGGAGTCCCCCCCGGGTCTCCTCTCCAGGTAAACCACATGACTCCTGTYTTTGTCTCTGATTTCTTGGTGGGAGTTCCTTTCAGTCATGATATTTACACAGGGATACCAGAAAAGCCCATTTCAGTAGCMCTTGATATTTTGCTTGTCTGATAGAACACAAAAGGATTGAGGATGAGGCCAGGGGAGACAAGAGATAATCTTCATCCTTGTATTCAGTTATTTGATGCGTGAACATTAAAACAATATCACAAGTTGGCTGTTGGATTAGCCTTGTACTAGTCTCTAAGGAATCATCTTCTTTAAAAGCTATTCATTATCTATAACACCTTGACTATTAAAGGCTTTTTATCCTTTAAAACTGTATGTATTCTTCTAAGCTTGACGAAGACAAGATTCACTACATCAAAAGATGGCTTCCTGAGGTTCTTTCTCCRAATATTCGYGTTGTGTTGTCCATGATAGACCACACAGACTGCCATCGACTGCTGAGAGCATTCAAGACATCACCCAAAGAAATCCTGTGTGGGGAATTAGATTTATTCTCGCGAGAGGTTTGTGGCAATCTTCTTGTGTCTYCCTTCTGTTGCATCTTTCTTTCWTTCCTCCYCTCATTGATTTGTTTATTTATCAATKTGTTTTGTCCATTAATTTGTTCATCCATTTTTTTTGTCCATGACTATGTTTATCCATTCATTTGTTCATCCRTTCATTCCTTTCTTTTGCTTTYCCATTTTCTCTGCGTTCTTTCCTTTCCTTCACTCCTCCCTTCCCTTCCTTTACCCATCCTTTCTTTAATGCTTTCCTTTTAATCTTATACCATCACTTCCAATTTCTCTTTCTACTCTCGCATCTCTTCTTCCTCCATTAATCCTTTCTTTCTTCCTTCCATCCATTATTTACTCCTATCCCACATTTCATTCACTTTTTATTGTTCCATTCTCTGATTAGGCCATTGTTGARAAYATCTTGAAGATGTAYAATAAGCGTCTGGATGCTCATCAAATGGAGCTACTSCTAGCGAAGAAGGGGTCAGCMAACCCTCTTTGGTTGACTTTGGCTTGTGAAGAACTCAGAGTGTATGGACACTTCAACAAGATGGACGAGAAGATCAACAGCTTAGAGGATGAATTAATAAGGTATTATAACTTGACACTCCTATTAATTTCCTTATTGGACTTCCTTTGGTTTTGATGTCAGAGAGGGACTGAGAATGAGAAACGAACTGAGAAAAGAGGAAAGAACTAGTATTATTCAAACAAATGTGAAACAAATGTGATTTTACTATTTGTATGACGATAAACCGCACATAACAAATACAGTCAACTCTCGCTATCACGGACACCCTCAGGACCGTAATTTAGTGTCCGTAGTAACGAGAGTTACTTTCAGTCATTTCTTTGTATTTTTCGCCAGGAATTCAGTATTTTACTGTCCGCAATATCGAGGTGTCCGTTGTAGCGGGGTGTCCGTAAGGCGAGTTGACTGTGCTTCAAATTCTGACTCAACATTCACTGTCTATTTGCCTTATTTTCAGTCTTGAGGAACAGCTTTTGATGCGTTTTGAGGTTGAAAATGGCGGTCCTATCGTCATCGCCACAATGTGCCTTCTAGAAACATCACGTCATGGTTTGCTCGAGACAGAAATTCTTCAAATGCTCGCAGACGAAAGTAATCTGACTCCCCCTGAATACGTAGAAGGATCTGATGAAATAACCGTTACTAAAGCACCMGAACTAGAAGGAGCCGTAGGTAAATATGTACTAACATAATCATTGTATATTTAAAAAATATAAAACGGCGCGCGTATCTGTATTCTCTGATACAAACGCGGTGGGAGTTGAAAAACACGAGAGAAGAAACGYGAGTATTTCTCTTGCTTCTCGAGTGCTTTTCAACTCCCACAGCGTTTATATTAGAGAACAGAGACCCAAGCGGCCGTTTTATAGTTCTTTTATATAATTTTTCTGCGTTTTTCGAGGGAAAACTGACAAATTTTGCCAGTAAGCCGTGAAACACRGTGGTCAGCTAATCAGATCACGCGTTATATATCAACAATTTTATCATCTTATGTAAATACAAATAAACAAAACAATAACTATTTCGCTCTTAATAGATGTTGATAAAGTCAATACTGGAGGAGACGCTGTTGCTGAAAAACTTCATAAAGAAGTAGACGAAACATATGCCATTGAAAAAGGCAAAGAGCCGAAAGAAGACCCAAAAGCAAAGAGAAAAACCAAGAAATTTTTATCAGCAGCAAAGTGGGCCTTAGTTTATCGTGCTCTAAAGCCTTTGCTGCGTCCTTGCGGAGACTTGGGTGAAGGACGATTTGATTTTTATCATCGYTCAATCAGTAAAGCAGTTAGACGGAGGTAA